TACCGAACTCCGATCTAACAAAAACAATTCTCTAACCCCACCTTAGGCAGATGTGAGTTCGGTCATTGCTCCCAGCTCGAACTTGCCCGTCGTTATCTTAGAAAAATATCATGATTACCCCCGTCATATCACCCTATCAATCACGCACACTTGCCACAAGTGATGTCATCGCCGTCCAAAATCACTAATCCAAAGCCTTGAATCCCAAGCCCTTACAAGTCATCATCACATGGGGAAAACATTGGCACATGGTCATTGGCCTCATCAACCAATCACAGGAGAATTCGACGACTCAAGTTTCGAGCTCGGTACTGTAGTTGATTTGACCAATTTGATGTAATTTCGGCCGAAACCATGTATAAATAGTAGAGTAAAAGTCCTTTGAAGGGCAATGAAAGATACATACAAAATCAGAATCTAATTACTTTTTCTCCATACATTTTGTGATCCTATATAACAATAAATTGCCCTCTTTTCTTAAAGTTAGCTTGAGATTAGCATTGCTAATTTCAACGTCAACAGTTTGGCGCTAGAATGAGGGCCCAATTGTGAAAAATAGCCTCATTCTCCCCACAAAATTCGAGAACCATGAGTTATAACTCAAGTTCTAGAAACTTATCTCACACCCACTCTCATGAAACGAATACCCTACCAAGTTCTCCACGACGACAAGACCCTCAGATGACTGCAATGAAGGAGGTCCTGGAAAAACTGACAAATGTAGTGGGACGATTGGAACGAAGTCAAGCCCACTTGTCCCCACCAGAACCGAGGTAGAATCCCCCACGAGGACAAGAACAAGACGTCCCCCTACCAGGAGGACTCTCTACTTTTCAAGAGGAGAATCCTCAAGAAGCCGAACTGACGAAGTCAGAAGTAAGGATCCCGGGGCGATGAGGACTGGCAGTGTGTTCGACAGGCTGAGGACCCAGCACTCGCTAACCCCTAGGCGAGGACAAACCTACCTCGATCTTAAATGTCCTCTGGAGCAAACAGAACCTGAGTTGAGCACGCTGAAAAGACGCATTGTTGACCTGGAGGCTAAAAACAAAGGTGACGCTGAAGATTATCTCACTAAGCGACATTTCCCCTTTACTGAGGATGCCCTTATGGAACCATTACCTGAAAAATTGAAAATCCCCTAGATGGTCGCGTGCGAAGAAGATGATGATCCCCTCAGCCACCTTGACAAATACACCTCGTGGATGGAACTGCAGGGGGCAAGCAACGCCATCATGTGCCGGGCATTTCCCTTGACTCTGGGAGACAAAGCTCAAAGGTGGTTTAGGATACTGTACCAGAGGTCGGTAAAAAATTGGAATGATCTGGCCACAGCATTCTTGGCCCAGTTCATAGGCTCCAAGGCCAGAACCACGCCCAAAGAACGACTAATAAGCATCAAACAAGGAAGAAGCAAATCCCTCAAAAGCTATTTGAACAGATTCAACAAGCAATCCATGGAAGTAGAAAAAATATCCGACGACGCAGTACTTATGGCCGTACTAGCAGGACTAAGGCCCAGAATGAGATTTTGGTGGTTGGTACACAAAGACGGCCCAAGAATTTATCACGAGTTCTTGAACCGAGTTGAGAAATACATAAGTGCTGAAGAAGTAACCTCTGACCAAGAGGAAGCCAGATGCGAGCCTGACCTCAGCAATACGGTGAAAGAGAAAAAACCAAGAACCAGTCCTTAGCCTGAAAGAAAGAAGGATAGGAGAGAAAGAGAACGTCCTAAGGCTCAGCCATACAAATTTCGAGAATATCACCCACTCAAAGCCTCCTTGGAAAAAGTATTCACGCAAACTAATGAAAAAGATGCATTTCGCAGGCATATGATCTGTTGCCAAATCGAAAGAAGCAGATTGACCTACGACATAGCAACCGCTGCTGCAGGGGCCTCTCGCACGAGCTCAGTAAGCAGTCCCTAATTGTAATCTTTCCCCACACACCGAAATCAAAATGATGGTTGGAAGAAATCAGTATATTGAGGGATCTAGAAGGGCAAGACGAAGACAAGTCCGAAGTGCAAGAATCATGCCTAACTACTAGGATCAAACCCCGCAAATCGGGATAGACCCTGAATGGTTCTGGTTCACGGAGGAAGATTCCCAAGGAATCCTCTAAGACCAAAGCGACGCACTAGTGGTCACAATGCCAGTTGCCGGAGTAAAAGTTCACCGGACATTGGTAGACAACGAAAGTTCGATCAACATATTGTACTCACGAACTTTGAGGCAATTGAAAATATCAGAGCGCTACTTCAACCGTACTTAAGAAAACTACAGGGATTCTCCGGAGATCCTATTGAAGCCCGAGGTCAGATCATCCTTGTTGTAGGCTGGGCGAAGCTCATCGCCAAAGAAGGATCTTAGCAGATTTTGTGGTAGTCGATCTGCCATCCAACTATAACGCAATATTAGGACGACCCATTTTGCACGAGCAAAAAGTTGCTACATCAATTTATCATTACCGTATGAAATTTCCCACTCCTTACTGGACTGTAATTATCCGAGGGGATCAAGTTGGAGCAAGAACGTGCAATATCAACCCGCCAAAGCCACAAGTCAACATGCTAAGGGGCAGAGCAAACACACAAGCCAGGGAAGCCAAACTGAAGAGACCAATCGTTGCTGATCTCTCTGAGATAGGCATAAAAGAGAAGCACCTCAAGAAAGCCACGGATGAGCAATTGTCCTTTGACGAAAAAGTGGAGACCTACATCCTTACCCCAGAGTTCTGGTAATCTTGTTGCCTGTAGCTGAGGTAACCATCCCAAAAGTCTTAGTGGATACGAGGAATGCTCTTAACATCCTCTTTAGCAACACTCTCAAATGGATGAGTATCCCTGTCAACTTCATGCGATCGTACTCAAATATGGTCCTTGGACTAAGCGGAGCCTTGACCTCTACTAAAGGATCGATCAAACTCAAAGTCAAGTCAGGATTAGCACCCGAAAAGTGAAGATGAACTCCGAGTTCGTGGTATTCGACACTCCGTCGCTTTATGATGCTATAATGGGACAACCCCTAATATTCAACCTAAGAGTAGCAGTGTCCCTGTACCACTATTCAATCAAATTTCCTATACCCCATGGTGTGGGCGAGGTCAAAGAAAACATGGAACTCACCCAAAGATGCCAATTGAAAGCTACACCAACCATCAATGCACCCCCTGGAATACATATGGCTAATGTATCGGAATTCGAGCTCATTCCACTAGACCCCGAACCAAGATCGAAGGTGGAGAACCCCTCGAAGAGCTAGAGGGAGTTCAAGTTTGTGCTGACGACCCATCAAAAGAACTCAAAGTCGGGCGCGAACTGCAGCCCTCCACCCAAAGCGAAATTGTGACCTTCCTTAGACATAGCCTTGATGTCTTTGCCTGAAACCACGGGGACATGAGAGGGATAGAACACAAAATCGCTTGCCATAAATTACAGATGGATCCCTAAATTCGGCCGAAGCAGCAAAAATGATGACCTCTGAACCCCGAAAGATATGAAGCACTCAACAAGGAGGTGCAAAAACTATTGCACAACGGTTTTCTCTGCAAGGTAAAATACCCAAAGTGGGTCGCAAATTCGGTCCTTGTGAAAAACACAATGGAGATTAGAGTGTATGCATAGATTTCACCGATCTCAACAAAGCATGCCCTAATAATAGTTTTCCTCTACCAAGAATAGATCAAATGGTGGACGCCACTGCGAGGCATGAACTACTAAGCTTCATGGATGCGTACTCCAGATACAACCAAATACCGATGTACGGCCCAGATAAAAAAATACCTCGTTTGTAACTGACCGAGGTCTTTATTGCTACAGAGTAATGTCATTTGGTCTCAAAAATGCTGGTGCCACCTATCAACGACTTGTGAATTCCATGTTTTCCCAATAGATCGAAAAAACAATGGAAGTGTATATTGATGACATGGTGGTCAAAAGCATCAAGGCCAAAGACCACTGTCAGCACCTGGCCGAGATGTTCGATATCTTAAGAAAGTATGGAATGAAGTTAAACCCGAGAAAATGTGCCTTTGGGGTCAGCTCTGGAAGGTTCCTAGGCTACATTGTAAACAATCGAGAAATTGAGGCAAATCCTGAAAAAATACAAGTTGTTATCCATATGAAGCCTCGGACCAACCCATAGAGGTACAAAGTTTAACCGGAAGAATCGCCGCCCTCAGTCAGTTCGTCTCTAAGCCTACGGACCGATGCAAACCCTTCTTTGGCACATTACGGAAAGAAGTTTAAATAGACCGAAGAATGCCAGGAAGCCTTTAACGAGTTAAAGAGACAACTAGCTTAGCCTCCGCTGCTCTCAAAACCTAAGGCAGGCGAGGTCCTAAAACTATAATTATCTATTTCAGAACATGCCATTAGTGCCATTCTGACTTGAGAAGAGAACGACGTTCAACACCCAGTCTATTATGTAAGAAAAGTGCTTCATGAATTCAAGCTCATATACTTGCCTGTGGAAAAACTGGCATTCACCCTGCTGATGGCAACGCAAAAACTGAGGCCATATTTTTTGGAACACCCCATTGAAGTTCTCATCAACTCTCCATTGAGACAAACATTGCAAAGACCCGACACTTTAGGTCGGATGGTGAAGTGGGCAGTAGAGCTCGGACAATTCGACATAAAGTACACACCTCGTTCCTCCATCAAGGGCCAAGCGCTCGTCGACTTTGTCTCTGAGTTTTGCAGCGTTCCAATTGAGGAACTACCAGAAGAAATCCCTTGTGAACTTTATGTCGATGGTTCATCTACTAGAGACTGATTTGGGGCTGGTGTGGTATTAATCAGCCCAGAGCAACGCATATTCTATGAAGCCTTGTCATTTGACTTCAAAGCTTCAAACAATAAGGCCGAGTATGAAGCTCTCATCGTCGGAGTAAGGATGGCCTCAGGGTTAGGGATCTCCAACCTAATCATACACAGCGACTTCCAACTAGTCTTAAATCAGATCAATGGCGTATATTAAGTAAAAGAAGAGAGAATGGACAATTACCTACGGGTTGTAAGGAAAGAATTTGAAAACTTCAACACCACCCAAGTCAAGCAGATTCTCCGATCTCATTACGACCATGCTGATGCACTGGCCCGCCTAGCCACCAGTGAGAGAATCGAAGAATTCAATAGCATCCCCGTAGGAAGAATATCCCTACTTGCCATTGAATTGGCCGAAGTGGCCCTTATGATGATAGATCCCAAACCAACTTGGCAGGATGAGATCATCGCATACCTAAAGACCGGGAAATGTCCCGAAAACTCGATAGAGGCCAGAAAGCTTCGAATCAAGTCGGCCAGATACACACTCATTGATAATGTCTTCTACAAGCGGGGATATTCTACGCCCTTATTAAGATGTTTGAACGAAGAAGAAGCACAACACGCCCTGCGAGACGTTCACGAAGAAATATATGGAAATCATTTCAGTGGGCTTTCCTTAGCCCACAAAATCATACGACAAGGGTACTTTTGACCTACAGTAAGATCGTGATGCCCTTGAACTTGTCAAAAGATGCGACAAGTGCCAGTGCCTCAGCCCTTTCATAAACACTCCACCACGCGAACTGAACCCGGTGATAGCACCATGGACCTTTGCAAAATGGGGGGTCGACCTGATTGGACATATGCCAATTGGAAAAGGAGGCGTGAAATTCACCATCGTTGTAGTGGATTACTTCACTAAATGGGTAGAGGCAGAGCCGCTTGCTAAGATCGCCGAACAAAAAATGACCAACTTTCTGTGGAAATCAGTCATCTATAGGTTTGGCATACCTCACTCCATCGTTACGAACAATGAAAAACAGTTCGATAACGCACGTCTTTTAGACTTCTGTGAGGAGTTCAGCATCAAGAAACATTTCTCAACGCCAAACCATCAGCAGGAAAACAGCCAAGTTGAGGCCATTAACAAAATCATTAAGCACACATTGAAAGCAAAACTTAACGTGTTTAAAGGAAGATGGGCCGAAGAACTCCCTAGTGTACTGTGGTCATATCGCACCACTGCAAGGATTAGCACGGGAAAAATCCCGTTCTCACTCACTTTCGATGTAGGGGTTGTAATCCCACTAGAAGTCGACATTCACTCGCCACGGATAACTACTTATGACGAAGAAAAGAATTATATGGCTCTTCGTACGGAACTCAACCTAGCCAAGGAGAAAAGGAACAACGTCGAACTCAAAAATGTCATTTACAAGTAATGGAACGCCAAGTACTACAATCAAAAAGTGTGAAAAAGAGAATTTGAAGTGGGACCCCTCATCTTACGAAAGGTATTCCTCTCCACAATAGAGGCCGGCAGCGGATGCCTGGGACATAATTGAGAAGGTCCCTATCTAGTAACAAAGAGCCTGCTGAAAGGGGTGTATGAATTGGAAGACTATGGTAGACCTTTACCCCATTCTTGGAATGCTGAACACCTTAAGCAGTATTATCAGTGAATGGGAAAAGTCCATGACATGTAAGCCCGCTTGTAATGTCAATCACATCAATAAAAAAGACTTCTTATTTTGAACATTTTATTCAGCACTTCGTCAGAATTCTCAAAAGACTTGCCCCATGTGCAGGCCGAGCTAAGGTCGTAAGAGTTATGACACTTAATGAAAATTCCTCCTTATGAATTCTCAAAAGCCCTGTCCCATGTGCAGGCCGAGCTAAGGTCGTATATACTACGACACGTAGTAAAAGTTTCTCCTCAACAATTCTCAAAAGTCCTGCTCCATGTGCAGGCCGAGCTAAGGTCGTATGTGCTATGATACTTAGTGAAAATTCCTCCTTAGGAATTCTCAAAAGCCCTACTCCATGTACAGGTCGAGCTAAGGTCGTATGTGCTACGACACTTAGTGGAAATTCCCTGCTCCATGTGCAGGTCGAGCTAAGGTCGTAAGTGCTACGACACTTAGTGAAAATTCATCCTTAAGAATTCTCAAAAGCCCTGCCCCATGTGCAGGCCGAGCTAAGGTCGTATGTGCTACGACACTTAGTGAAAATTCCTCCTTATGAATTCTCAAAAGCCCTGCCCCATGTGCAAGGCGAGTTAAGGTCATATGTGCTATGACACTTAGTGGAAATTCCTCCTTAGGAATTCTCAAAAGCCCTACTTCATGTGCAGGCCGAGCTAAGGTCGTATGTGCTACGACACTTAGTGAAAATTTCTCCTTAGGAATTCCCAAAAGCCCTGCCACATGTGCAGGCTACACAACATTCCATCATCAAAATTCCACGAAAGGATAAAATAAGTAGCGCATAAAAGGTCAAAAATTTTAATACAATAAAATGCGTTCACAAACCAAGTCAACATAAACCATTACAAATGTCAGAACATTAATGTTCAAAAGACTATCCCACCAAAAACCTATGTAGAACTAGGAGGGGGATGGCCTCATTAGCAGCAGTATCTTCATCAGTAGGAGAAATTTGAACTCCGCCTCCTCAGCAAGACACTGGAGCTCCTTTCTCTACAGCTCAACCGCTTCCTCAAGAAATGTCACGTCGAGCCCAGGCCTTTTCCTTTGGATATGTTTAACCACCTCCTCCAGAGCCACGACATATGAGTCCTGGGCCAAGGCATCAAATTCAGATGATGACTTCTAGAGCTCAACCGCCTTCATAGCCTTTGTCTCTGCCTCCTCTGCTCTCTTGGTCGCAGTCCTCACCCTCTCATTCGCCTCTCTGACCTTGGTCACAGCCTCCTCAAGCCGGGCTCACTCCTCTTCAAATCTCTTCCTTTCCTCTTTAGCCCGACTTCTAGCCTCCTCCTCTAAGGCTCTCAAGGCCCTGATCTCTCCCATTAACCTCTCTTCTTGATCAAGCCTGGAGTTTAGCTCGACCCCCATCCGATTGAGCTTCTCCTCATACTCCTTTTCTTTCGAAGCGAATTGGGCCTTCTCAGCCTCCATGCTGCTGTAAAGGTTGAAGGCTTGGTCCTTAGCTTCCTTCAGCTTATCAAGTTCGGACTTCACCTATTCAAAAAAAAATTATTAGTCAAATAGTTACATGAAATCAGAAGTCCTGACATATAACGAACTGAGAATAATTCTTTATCAGCCACCGCCATCATATACAAAATAGAGCGGTGGCCATGGAGCTGTGTTGTCACTAAAGCCTCACCGATGGGCATTTCGATCAAAAAATGTTGTTCCCTCTCGCCCTAGCTCCTAGTAAATAGGTTCGCGGAGTCTCTAAGAGATGGAATAAGTACAGCAGTAACCTCCCTCGAAGGTGAGGAAGCTCAGAGATAGTCAAGGAAAATTTCAGGCCTATGGCTTATAAAGCTGTCCACATTGGGTCTCTGCAAGTCCGGACACCTATCCCTTGACTTGCCAGAACTAGTGCCGGAAAAAGAGGGAGCGATCAGAGCTGGCGAAGAAAGGGTTGGAGAGGGCAGAGTGATGGTGACCATAGGAGATGAGCTCAGAGAAGGCACTGCCTCAGGAACATCTGGGACTACCAGAGTCGAAGTCCGGTTCCTCTTCAACGGGACCTCCTCCTCTATATTCTCAGAACGGCTCTCAGACCTACATGGGACATCTCTCTTCTTTGCCTTTGCTGGAGCTGCAACCTTGGCCGCCTTGTACCCCAACATTTCTGTGCTGTGTGCTGAAAATACCACAAGAAAGTATATATCTCAACTTAAATCACCCAACATCTACCTGAACTGGCAGGGACTGATGTGGACGCTATAGCCGCAGAAGGTCCTGAAACCACAGTTTGAATCAGGCCTGCTTGGAAGAGATTGGAATTTGACAGCAAATACTTGTAAGACCTTTGTCTCTTTGGCAAGGCCCGAACTGCTTCAGCTCTCCTTTGAGTGTCCTTAGTCAGAATGGGCCTCCTGTAAGCTGCACAATAATATAACAAAATCATTAGCTCAGCCCCGAATGTCACCTCGGTCAAAGCACCAAAAGGCAGTTACTTACATAGCGAGTGATAAAGTACAGGGACGACGTCATCCCTATTCACCTCGGCAAAATGAAACTGTCACTCTCCCAACACATAGAAGAATTCTTCCTTCCATTTCTTAATTGAGGATGGGGTATCTAAAACTAAAGAACCTCCCGTTCTTGGCCTAACACTAGTATACCATCAGCCCGTGTTCCTCCCATCCTCCTTAAAAGTAAACAATGAATTAAACTGCTCTACTATAAGCTCGGGATTACTTAGCCTATCCTTTAAGATGAGTGTAGTGATCAGTGTTCGCCACCCATTTGGACATAACTGAGTGGGAGCTATACCCCAAGAAGACAAAAACTTCCAAATGACTTTAGGAATATGTAGCCTAAGCCTGGCTTATAGGACAGCAGAATTTGGAGCAACGCATCCCATAGGGAGAGCATTAGCACGGTTGGAAGGTTCTGGAATTATCATAACTACCGAGCTCGGAATGTTATATTTCGCCCGCCAACTACCTAACATGTCACCCGTTACAACCGACATGTAAGAACTGACTCCATATTCTACCTGGTCATTTCCCTCACTACCCCTATGAAAACCTAACTCCTCACCCCTCAGATCCCCCTGTCTTGCTCCACCTCTCCGAGGTGAACCAAGGTAACCGGATTGGCTATCGAGAGTGTGATGGGGGTGAAAATTTCCCTACACTCAGACGACGAGCTAGAAGTCAAAGAGACAGATTCTTCCAGCTAAGTTCCCCAGGAATGTACTCTGGACTCGTCCAAACTCATATAAAGATCGAAAAGAAAGTGCGAACAGGAAGGACGAAGAGAAAAAGTGAAGGAATACCTGAGAAATCGAAGGAAAGACAACCTTAATCAAAAGGAAAGTATAGCATACTGGGAGTGTCCTACTACCTTAGAGAGAAAATTACATAAAGTGAAAAGGAGAAATGAAAGGTTAAAATGAACTTAAAAGGAAGAGAAGTCAAAGGGTCTCAATTCGGACCATTCATCCAAAAAATGAGGGACAAATCAACGGGTTAAAATGTTGGGCAGCCTAAACGGTGCAGTCTCTTTATGAAGCTTCTCAAAAAAGCGATCTAAAATGTTGTACAGCTCACCCCTATTAGAACATGTCACTCGGCACCGCAATAATTACACTTCTCGAAAGAATCAGTTGAGTAAAAATGTCAGCTCCCCCTTACGGTAGAACTGACTTGGGTGGTGACTATTGACTACCAAACTCTGATCTAACAAAAACAATTCATTAGCCCCACCTCAGACAGATGTGAATTCGATCGCTGCTCCCAGCTTAGACTTGCCCGCCGTTATCTCGAAAAAATATCATGATTACCCCCTGTGACTTCACCCTATCAATCATGCACACTTGCCACAAGTGATGTCACAGCCGCCCAAAACCACTTATCCAAAGCCTTGAATCCCAAGCCCCTTGCAAGTTATCATCACCTGGGAAAAACATTGGCACATGGTCACCGGCTTTATCGACCAATCATAGGAGGATTCGACGACCCCAGTTCCAAGCTCGGTACTGTAGTTGATTTAATGTAATTTCGATCGAAACCATGTATAAATAGTAGAGTAAAAGTCCTTTGAAGGGCAAGGAAAAGTACATACAAAATCAGAATCTAATTACTTTTTCTCCATACATTTTGTAATCCTATGTAACAATAAATTGCCCTCTTTTTCTTAAAGTTGGCTTGAGATTAGCCTTGCTAATTTCAACGTCAACAAGTTTAATTCACATTTGACACAATACAAAGTAAATTAGCATCACGCTTCACTTGTATTGACTAAACATAAAAATATAAATTCATTTTAAGAACACAACAACCGATAAATTGAATTAAAAGTGACGACAATTCAAAAAGGTGACAGAAATTTAAAAAAGCGACAAATTATGTTCGTTTTTACAGTTGTATAGAAAACGAAATTGAAAAGATTCGCCCATTTGCTCAATAAAATGTGCATCAAGTAACAACAAAAATCAAGCAAGAGTTCACAGACACCGCTTAATATAGAATTTCAAATGGTCACTGTCACGCCCCTATCTGAACCGCCTCGAAATTCCCATCACCACACATTTCGACCCGATAGACACCCATCCGAAGTGTTTTCGAAGTGATCTCACCAATGTCGATGACCTGATAGCACACTGAGAGACATAGACGATCTTACTGAACTGATCGAAGCGCCCTCGCCCCTGAGGCCGAGGCGAAGTGGACCTCTATCAGAAGATCAGCCGCCAATTTCAGAAAAAGATTTTTGCCAAGATCTTCTATGCAACT